CCCTTGACAACAGTGATGACTAAGTCTTCAAATGAAGACAATTAAAATATATGCCTCAGCGAAATTAACTTAAAACACAGTGAAAGTTCTGACCTTTGACGCATAAGTGTGAAACACTGACAAATCTCATTTGATCCTCAACCAAATCCTGCAAGGACTCTCAGAGGGGCCAGTTATACCAAGCTAATAAATAGTGGAACCAAAAACTTGAACCTAGGTTTTTTTTACTAAGTCAGAATTGTCTTAATTATCCTGTGCTGTTTAAACTTAGACTTTGGGATTCCTATACTTCAGAAATAGTAACTCCCAATTCTCTTTCCATCAGAAACAATTTCCTACCAAGTTGTAGCCCTGAGGTATAAGTGGTTACTGAACTTTACTACACTTGATCTTAGCCAAAAGGCCGAGAAGCGATGAACTTTAAAAAAAACTAGGTCACCAAACAACGAAGAAAAACCACTCTTGTCATCCAACAGTGTTGTTTGTTTGTTTGTTGTTTGTCTTGCCCCTTAAACGGGCCTCCATTAGGCGCACGGCACCTTGGGAGTTGTAGTCTCAGGGCACAGACCTCTGTGGCTGGAGGCACTGACTCACTGGCACTCAATCAGCACAGAACCAATTTGCTCTCCGCACAGCTATTGGCTGGAAGGCAGCGGGAGCCCGCCCCGCGGCGCGGCGCCGTGGCTGGTGGAGGCAGCCCCCGGCTGGGCGGAGTGTGGAGCTCGCCGCGTTCCCGGGTACCCTCGTCCGTGATACAGCAGTGCAGCCATGGCAGAGCCGCAGCCCGCGTCAGGTGGCCTTACCGACCAGGCTGCCCTCGGTTGTTGCTCGGACCCTGACCCCAGCACCAAGGTGGGCGCAGAACCTATTTCTCCCGAGTGGGGGGGCCCAGCGTGGCGCCTTTGGGGTCCAAAAATAGAGCAGATCCCCGGGCTCAGCCAGGCCCGGCTCGGACTGGATTCGAACCCCATTCGACCGCCTGTGCAACTCTGTCCGCCTCGGACAGGCCGAAGTGGGCTGGGGAGAGGGCTAATGGTGTGCAATGGGGGTTCCGTGAGAGGATCCAGCTCTTCAGATTGTTTCAAAGCCTGCAACCCAACTTGCATTAACTTTTTAATTTGGGGATGTTAACTGGAAGACACAACTAACTCAGAGTCAGATCCGTTGTCGGTGGGTGTGCATGTGCCCAAGGTCAGTAACCGTGGCGGATAAGACGAGCAATTTCAGAACTAACTCCCAACCCAGGTTCGAAGGTCTCTGTCCATGCCGGCCTCTCCCAGCCTGCATCATTTTCCCGTCACTGCCCTGGCTCCAGGCTCCGCTCCTGGAAGCTAATTTGATCGCTTCGGCTTTAACCGCGCCCAGAATTTCGCTTTTCCTTCGCTTCTATGCTCACAGCCACCCTTCTGCCCTGCCTGTGCGAGGTAGCCCTAGGAGAGACCACGGAATCATGGAGCCTAGATCCGAAAGGAATCGTAGAAATTTCTTCACCGATCTACTCGGTGGAAGAATGACCTGTTGCTCATGAAGGCTTTCATCCCTCCAGCCTGCTTAACATGTCTGTACTAAGAGTCAGTGTAACTAACTCACCGAGGTGTGGTACTTGGGTGCGTTGTCAAGATTAGACACAGCAGTCGCTTGGAGGTGGGGTGGGGGTGGGGGGTTTCTAGTACTCATCAGTGTCAGTAAACGCCTTCGTGTATTTATTCAATGGGCTGGGGAAATTCTAAATTCCTTGAGGATTAAATGTGCTTTATGCAGCGCTCTAAGAGGGGTGCATGACTGTGGTCCCTCCTTGCTCTTTGCCTTTAGGGCGAAGTAGTCATACACCTGTAATTGCTAAAGCCTCTGACTAACATCTGCTTCTTAGGCAAATATGTATAAAATCTCTCACACTCATCTCACTTGTATACCTTCTAATAATAATACCTAGTTATTTCACATAGAGTTGTTCAGCATATATTAATTTCCCAGGTAACTGGGGATTTTATGTATTGGGCTAGTAAATTTTTTTCAGGGAGATCTTTATGAAATTTGTCCAGTTCACTTCCTTGCATTCTTAATTTACACTTCTCATAGTCTAAATTTCTCTTGGTGATTTGGAGTAGTTCTTTTTTGAAATCAGAATTTTTTGACCTTTGAGGTACTACCATGTGGGGTAACATAAAATGAAATCTATACTAGCAGCTTATATATATTAGTGTCAGGCCCTGGGTTGCTGCCTTAAGTACATTACTTAATTTAATCCTCACAACAATCCTGTGAAGCAGGCATTATCTCCAATTTACCAATGAGACTGGGACATAGGTATTGAGTAATTTGCTCAGGGAGGAGCCCACACTCCCAGCCCCATTCTGGCTTCTGGAGTACTGTTTTCAGCACCAATTTTGAACTTGAGATGAAGTAAATTTAAAAACCTAAATGAATTAAATCCAGCCTGATTACTGACTACCTGCTATATATAAAGAATGTTTGGGGATACTGGGATGAACAAGATGAGGTCCCTTCACCAAATATACACCAACTCTAACATAAAATGGAACTGGGAGTAACGTGCTGTTAAAATTAGAAAAGCACCCTGGGAGCACAGGAGGAAGAAATTCTTGACGATAGCGTCTGTGATATGTTGTGTGCTCAGGGTACTTGGAGTCTGAAGACCCACATTTGAATCCCCAGTTCCTTCATTGGCTGCAATGACTTTAGCAGGGCACTTGGGCTGAGTTTGTAAAAGGAGCATAAAAAGGGCTACTAGGATGATAAAGTGCATTGGCGTTCTCAACACTATGAAAAGTTATACAGTTCAAGGTCGCATTTCAATTGTGGGGATCCGGGACTGTTCAAGCAGAAGGTGGGGGTGTGCCCATTCCTTGAAAGATGGATGGGATTCCAATGCCACATGGGAGACAGAATTACATAGAAAGGTATTCTAGGTGGAAGACACCTCTGAGCAAAAATGTGCTGAGATATCAGAAAGGTGCAGTGTGGTGTGGTGCAGGTTCTGGAGAGGGAAGTCAATGTGTTTTTGGTCATCTAAGCAGTGCAGCAGTGGTAGAGAAAGCTGGAATGGTAGGTTGAATCCAGATCATGGAGAAAGCTTTGAATGTCACATCTATGGAAGCTGGATTTATATGAGTAGTGAGGAACCGTTCAGGGTTCTGTTGAATAGATTGGAGGGATCCAAGCATGAGGTGATGAGGACACCTAAAAGGCTCTTCCAGAAAGTGAGGTAAGTGCTGAGGGTTGCTTTGAAAAGGAGAGAGCAGCAGTGGTGCAAAATCCACTCACTTGTTAATCATTTGCATCTCTGTCATAAAGGTAGACAAAAGAATGCACAGCTGACCATATCCTGGGCTATATTATTTGGCTAACTTTCTTCAAAAGGCCAAATACTTCTTTTCCCAAGTAGTAATCTAAAGTCAGTTTTTCTACTGTTCCCATCAATGCCCTTTGTTACAGTAATCTGGAGTGGTAGGTGATAGAGTTGGGGAAAACTTTAAGGGATGGTGACATTTAAGCTGAGTTTTACCAAATACAAAGGAGGTAGCCAAGTAGAGTTGGATGCAGAGGTAATGGGAAGAAAGAATGGAAAGGAGGAAGAAAGGACAATAGCCAGGTGGACGAATGACGGTTCTAGGCAGAGAGAATCATCCTAGATAATAAAAGCCCAATATGCTAAGTGTCTGGTCATCCGGTCATCCATTCACTCAAAGCATAATATGCAAATGATGTGCTAAGGCCGCTCAACCGCTCACTATGATGTGCACTGACCACCAGGGGGCAGACGCTCTGACCAGTAAGTTACCTTGCTGCTGGCGTCCGGCCCATCAGAATTGAGCAAGATGGCCTGGACATGCCCTGGAACCCTCCCATGGTCCCTCCTCAGCTGGCCATCCTCCCGCTTTCCTCCCCGGCCCTGACCATGCATCGGTGGGGTCCCTCAGCCTGGCCTGCCCCTTTCGCAGTCTGGGACCCCTCAGAAGACATTGGCGAGCCAGTTTTGTCCTGATCCCCCAGGCCAGGCCAAGGGATCCCACTGGTGCACGAATTCGTGCACCAGGCCTCTAGTAGTATATATAAAAGCACAATGACATCAGAAAAATGATGCAGGGACCTACAGGCAATGATACTGAAGTTATAGGCAGTGCAAGTTGAGGGGAAGGTACACAAAGCAGTCATTGGGATGCTCAAAGAAATTATGATCACTCATTATGTTCACTTGTTTTTCTCACCTTGTAAAGATTTGTATTTGGTAAATATGTTTTATAATATATGTGTTTTATTAATATATTTGTGCATAATTAAAGTAAATATCCATTTATTGAGGGTGCATGCTTCCTGTGAACTCATAAGGGTATGAAATAAAAAGCATTTGAGATTACCAGTTTAGGGAAGTAGTGAAAAAAATGAAGTTAGAGAAGTATGCACCAACCATATATACTTGCTGTTGATACTTTATTTTTTAAAGAATATTTTTTATTGGCTTCTTGACAAGTTTTGATATATCCTATATATCCTGAGAACAGACATATAGTGACCAAATACTGTTGGGGGCAGTTGTACAAAATCCATTTGTAGACTTCTTCTGGGAATGGAGAGTACATACTTTTTCCTATTCCTCATGATAAATACATTATATGTAAAACAAACATAGGAGACTGAAAGGTGAGGAGAAGAAGGCAGACTGCCTAGGGACTTTGAGACCTTAAGAACACCATGGGAGTGAGTTTCCTCAGTTTTCTTTTTGCCTCCTATAGCCCAGACTTGGAGCTAACAAAGCTAGCAATCTGGAAAAGCCAATGGGTGCAGACCAAAAAAAGCCCAAGGAAAGCCTCTCTCTCTAGTCATAGAACCAGGAAATGGGCAATATCTACACTAATAAAAGACAAACATGCAAATTGACTGTACCTTTGCTATGCCTTAGGCCACGCCCACCAACCAATCAGAGTGACTATATGCAAATTAACCCAACCAAGATGGCGGCCAGCAGCCATGGAGCTGGAGCAAGCAGGAGGCTTGGGGTGCCCCCAGCAATGGAGGAAGCCAAGCTTCCCACCTGCCCTGGCTGGCCCTCTGGCTCCACTCCAGGCTACAAAGTTTCAATTATAGAACATAAATAAATCCCAGGAAAAAAAAGAAAAAGAAAAAAAGGAGAGGCTGGAGTTTGGGTTGCCGAGAGGCGTGGCCAGACTGCAAACGACCATCAGCTCTTCACCCAGGCTGGCCAGGGACCCCAGTGGGGATCCCCACCCTGGACCCCCACTCTGATCCGAGGCACCCTTCAGGGCAAACCAGCCAGCCCCCACCCATGCACCAGGCCTCTATCCTATATAATAAAAGGGTAATATGCAAATTGACCCCAACAGCAGAACAACTGGGAATGACTGGTCACTATGACACATACTGCCACCAGGGGGCAGATGCTCAATGCAGGAGCTGCCCCCTGATGGTCCGTGCGCTCCCACAGTAGGAGCTCTGCTGGGCCACAAGCCAGGCTGACGGCTGCCAGTACAGCGGTGGTGGTGGGAGCCTCTCCCGCCTCCTCAGCAGCGCTAAGGATGTCCGACTGCAGCTTAGGCCTGCTCCCCACTGGCAAGTGGACATCTCCCAAGGGCTCCTGGGCTGCCAGAGGAATGTCTGACTGCCAGCTTAGGCCCAATCCCCCAGGGAACGGGCCTAAGCCAGCAGGTGGTCATCCCCCGAGGGGTCCCAGACTGTGAGAGGGCACAGGCTGGGCTGAGGGACTCCCCCTCCCCCTGAGTGCACAAATTTTTGTGTACCGGGCCTCTAGTTTCCTGATAACACAGAAACTTTTAGACCAGTGGTTCTAAAAGTTCTGGCCCTTTAAATACAGT